TACAACCATTTGAAAACACCAAAATTTACTAAAAAATGTATGGCCATCTGGATGCTGCGTCCAGATGACCAAATATTTCTGTGTATTTTTGGCGTTTTGAAATGGCTGTATCTCAGTCAAAGTAGCCTGATTAACACTAAACTTGGGGATTTTGTGAATCTTGGTGTGCTTTTTCTGACTATAGGGATCAATAATCCCATAATTTACAGACTGGTACAAAGTCCTTTTCGGCGTGAAAATTAATCAGGCAATGATATCCTTTGTTTACACTTGACGAATTATTGATGAGTTTGAGAAGGTTAAAATATTTAATGATAGTTTCTAATTAACGGAAATCATTTGCAGGAAAAGTTAAACAAGGGGATGCTCTTGAAGACTTTAAAAAGAATGCAGAGCGAAACGGAATAACAGTTTGTGCGCCAGGTACATGTACAAGTAAAATGTATAAAAATATGCTGTGGTTTAAATATGCATTTGATTAAAAGTTTTCAACTTGTAAACCCATGTGCTCTTCATTTTCACTTATTAAGTTAACAAATACATTTAAAAGGCTTGACCTTGGTTTTGTCCTGTTAAAAAGCACACAAGGAAGCGAGGAGAGTAAAGTGTAGGGTGAAACACAAGCCACTGCCAAGTGTATCTTCCTACTTAGTGACTGACTTCATCACTTCCTTATGGGGCACCATTTGTAAATTTATTATTTAGACCGAATTTATGCCATTTTCCCATATTTATAAATAATTGGAAATGCCAGAAATTTTTTTATAAATAAGACACAAGAACTTGTCTGTTGATATGTAAATAATTATTTTAGGCTCGTCCTGATTTATAAAATATCTTTTACCATAAAGTTATATATAAATAATAAACTACTCAACTTCAATTATTTATAAATGAAGTCATTTCTAAAATAGTTATTTACATATCATAAAGTTTGTAAATCTTATTATTTATAAATAAATTCTTTTGCCAGGAGTCTAAATTCATTATTTAGAAATAATGAACTTCACCGAATTGTGTGTAAATTCATTATTTAGAAATAATGAAGTTCCATCTTGCCAAGTGTAAATTTATTATTTAGAAATAATGAACTTCACCAAGTGTGTAAATTCATTATTTAGAAATAATAAATTTCACCTGGCCGAGTGTAAATTTGTTATTTAGAAATAATAAACTTCACCTGGCCGAGTGTAAATTTATTATTTAGAAATAATAAACTTCACTGAGTGTGTAAATTCATTATTTAGAAATAACGAAGTTTCATTTTGCCGAGTGTAAATTCATTATTAATTTTAGAAATAATGAATTTCACCTTGCCCACTATGGGGCTGAGTGCAAGAAAATAGCCACTTGGTGTTCAGACAGAACTACATGTAAGCATAGTCAAGCCAGTTCATTTGTTTTGTCACACATTGCAGAGGTTGTAGAGAAACTGGCTTCATTCAAGTTTTATTCTTAGGCTGCATACATTATGTTGTCACAAATGATGTGCAACCTCATTAACATTGTTTATTTTACATGTTCTAAAGAGTGTCTTATTTCATCATTACAAACACTCACTTCTTGGGGTCTTCTTGGTTAATTTTATGATAGAGCTGTACTGTTTGAAATTAAAGGGGGAATAAAAATCAAGCTGGTTTGAAAGAAAATGTCAACCAAAGAGAGTTGCTTTATGGCTCCTGACATTGGTCATCAAGCTGGACCCTGTTGTCACCTTGGCAAACACCTCACATGTACATGTAAATTTGCACATGTGACTTCAGTAGTGGGCTTCTCCAATAGTGGGCACAATGGAAAAGATACCAGCCAATGATCAGGAGACACTAGTGATGTACAATGTAGGAGATACAATACATGTAATAGAAAAGAACCCAGATGTTTAATAGGTAAGAAAAGGCTTTGCTGCTCTTTTTGAAACCCTCCCCCATCCCTCTTTTTATTGACTACATTGTACATCAGGATCTGTCACCGGTCTCTACAAAAGAGTGCAAATAGTGTGCCCAGAGCAAGGACTTTGAGGAAGTCAAACATGTAGACTTTCACTTGTAACTACATGAACCTGTACATGTAATAATAACCGACTGGGAAGGGTTGTGAAGGATGCAACAGATCTTGCATGGACATGTTTACACAGTCTATGTGCACAATCTTTGCATCCTGTACATTTTAGTTCTGCTCTGTTTGGTGAAGTACATGCATTTGCAGCTACATTTTGTCTACTTGAAATCGAAATTTCACTGTTGCCGGGATTCCATTTTATGACAGCCCTCACCGTTTGGGTGAGTTGCCTTAAGAAATGTATAAAGTAATGTACAAAGTAATGTACAATATGTACTAGTGGTAAGGAATTAAAACTCATCAGGGCAAATGTTAATGCACTGTAGCGTATTTTTAAACATGTACATGTACTTTAAAATTCTACAATCAACTTGGCAAAAAAATTCTACAATCAACTTGGCTCTAAGGCTTCCAGGAGAAAAAACAAAAACAAAAACAAAGGAAATTGCGTCAATATAACAGGATGAATACCTGTCACAATAACTGTAATTTTTTTATTGCACATGTTCATTCTATTTCCCTGAGCCTTTGAACTTTTGAGCCGAAGTAAAATTTTAAGGTTTATATCAAAATAAATCTACTTCATTCCCAGTTAGTTGGTCGCCTTTTACACCAGTATTTTTATTTTTTAATTCCTGTTTTGTGTTATCTGTAGGTTCGAAGGATCAAACAGAGAGCACCAGTTTATCTAGTTCAAGGACACCTCCGCCAGACAATTCAAACATTGGACATTCAAATAAAGATCACAATTTGACATCACTTTCTAGATCACCACAATGGCATGGGGAAACAAGGGAAGGTATTTTACATTCCTCAGTGGGAAATTATTATAACGTGCTTAGTAATGAGAAACATGCAACTGAGGGACAAGGATTTAGTGCTCCATCTCAATTTCTGTCTGAAAGTAAAAACAATTCCAAGTCACGTGCTTCTGACAAACTTAGCCTTTTTAAAAGCAAGGCGGCAGTGAGTGGTATTAAAGTTGAAGAGGACACGGATTTAGTGGTAGATCAAGAAGTACAGAGCAATATAACCCATACAGTGGTAGGTGAGGAAGAAGAACCTAAACGGGCAGTAGAAAGTCTTGCTCAGATCCCTGAAACAGCAACGAAAATGACTGATTTAGCGGTGACAAATGAAGACGGTGTTAATAACTTCGAGCATGCACTTGAACTTGATTCTGAGGTGATACATTTGAGAACTGAAGAAGATGGAAATGTAGAGATTAAGTCCGAAGGAGAAACATGTGTTTGTGAGAAAAGTGAAAGCACATCAAAAGTTGAAAACCAGCAAGAGTCGGCATGTACAACTGGAATGATACAGGAAGGTAAAGAGTATGACAACGTTACTACATCAGAGAACACACTCAACGTTGAACATGTTGCAATTTCTATGAAGGAAGATGCACAGATTGCAGCATTTGAAGAAATTGCACGCCAAATAGGGATCAAAGTTGGCAGTGTTCCAAAACGCAGCATTTCCTCTGTTACCAGCCCCGGTGTACATAGAGTTGAAACAGCGGCAGTCGTTGAAGCAGATGGCTTAGATGCCTGTACTGAGCAAGATGCACAGATTTCAAGATTTGAGGAACTGGCTTGGCTAAATGGGATCAAAGTAGGCAAGAAAAAAACTGACAGGCTTTCAGCGTCTTGCTCTGAAAGTTCTGACTCTGTTGCGCCAGAGAATATACAAGAAAATGATTTCTGTACAGGCACAAATTTATTGGAGGAAGATCCACAAATTGCCAGATTTCAAGAAAGTGCATGGCTTAGAGGCATCAAAGTTAGTGGTAAATTATCCAATGCTTCATCTTCGTCATCTCTTTCACCTGCTACCAGTGATGACTATTTAATATATCATCCAAGTGATGAAATCCGTGAAGTAGCAGCGCAAACAAAAGGGAACACCTTTGAGGAGCTGGCCAGGAGAAATGGCATCAAAATTGGTAAACCAGTAGTTCCAACTGAGACGTTTAACATAGCAGGAGTTTCAGCTGACTATTCTCATGGTCGACTGCATGGCAATACAGCTTCCTCTGTGGAGTCTATGGAAAGAGCTTCCATTGTTTTCAATCATGCTAGTACTCAAACTGAGGTCATAACAGTTGATTGTCACAGTCAAACATGCGAAAAAGATCATGGCTTTCTTAAGCAATCCACACAGGTGCAAGTTGATGCTTTCAGAGAAGCTTTTGCAGAGGAGTTCATGATGTGGAAACTTGATGAGAGTGCTGCAGGAGATGATGTGGAGTTATGCTATAAAGACTTGTACTTTAAGGAAAAGAAAGCCGTCGATGAACTTAGTGAAAGTCTACAGAATGAGAAGGACGTGTCAGCCAATACAAAACATAACCACAAAAGAGTTATGGAGCAGCTAAAAGAGGAGCTCAACTGCAAGACAGAGGAAATTGAGGTACTTACGTCTTTTCTCAAAATTTGGTAGAACATAGATATTTAGTACAGTATTGAGTAATATACATTCTGTACCTGTAGTTCCCTTCTTATACTGTAGGAGAGATTATTTATTCCAACTCTTAGGTTATAGCTACAATGAATTATCATTGTATGCACACTACTGTAATGTGTTACTACTTTGTTTAGTTCAGTTTAGCCACTGGCTTCCATCATTGATCTTCATCGATCAATGGCAGGGTAATGAGATTGCAGATTGTTGTTATACCTACATGTACATGTAAATGTATCTTCTACATGTACATGCCTTCATGCCTATGAGCACAGTGTTTTTGCCAGAGCGCGCCATCGTGGGAATCCCACGTTGCAATCAGAGAAGGCCCTCAGAAAAACGAAAAAAGGGCTAATTTGGCCCTTTCCTTTTACACAGATGACCTGCACCTCTTTAAAACTTCTATTTTGATTTGTTCTTGTTAATCTGCATCTCTTTTGTTTTTAGGGCTAGGGGCATTGTTTGTGTTGTATACCTGTTGTTTCGTTTGGCGAATCATGAAGACCCTTGTAAACGGTGCGTGGTCGCCCCTTTTACAAGACTGCAGGCTTAACACATACGGTCGCCAATGCAACTAACATTTCATCCTTGGCGACCAACAATTCTGGTTTCGTCGCCATAATGGCGACTGCATGTCTTTGTGTTGACGATCAATAAGAAAAGAAGTCAATCCGTTCTTTTGTTTTGCTTTATTGATTCTCTTACATCGGAAAACTTCCAAATGGCTGACCGTGTTTGAAATCGCCCTTTAATGCATTGCAAACCCTTGATCATTGACTACGTCATGTATGCCTATGGATTGTTCTCTTGTAATGTGCGGATCCTTCATACTGGTAACTGATTCAAAAGAAACTTTATTGAGTAGAAACACTTCAAAAGCCACTTACTATTAAATTTTATCATAGATCCTAATAAACTGCTTTATTTTCCGTGGTACCTTGATGCATTTTTTCTTCTTTAGCTTTCAATTTATTGGCTTTTTCCTAAAAAAAATTGGCCCCTATAAAAGGTCTTCAGGTGTCACTTTGGCCCTCAAGTAAAATTTTCTAGCTGAAACACTGTCAGTATCATGAGCGAAAATTTGAATACGTGACCATGTGAGAGAGAATAACAAACTACTGGACAAAGTACAAGTAGCGAAAAGCTGGAAAGTTACTCCCAAATTGCATTTTGCTTTTTTTTTATTGTCATTGTAGAAATGTACAGACACATGAATTTATAATTCATGCCTCTTTGTTATTGTTAAAACAAATTGACGTCAGTTTTTCATACTCTGTCCCGTCATTGACAATGAATTTCGTCGTAACATTGTCAGAGTAGTCTAGGAATCAACTGGGCTATCGCCTTGTGAATCCACGGCTACTTTGACAATGTTATGACAAAACTTATGAAAGAGTAAAGAGAAAAGCTGCAATTTGTAAGCAACCAACTGCAGGAAATGCAAACTGCACTCTTGCGAGCTAATGTTAAATGTAAGCTATAATGACTAAATCTCCAACTGAAACAAAGACTTTCTTTTACAATTTGCAGAAACTGAAGAAAGACCTCAAGACACTGAAGAAACAAAAAGAATCTGAAGCAAAGAGAATAATGAAGGAACTGAAGTCTAAAGAGGAAGAACTGGAATCATGCAAGGGAACCATACAAATAAAGGAAGTTGCCATCGAAAGCCTAAACTCTATTATGAAAGAGCAAAGAGAAAAGCTGCAATTTGTAAGCGACCAGCTGCAGGAAATGAAAACTGCACTCTTGCAAGCTAATAAGGATGCAAAGTGTAAAACTTGGTATGTAACAGTTGTTATAAACATGCTCCTAGCATACCTAAGAAGGCCTAAGAAGGCAATTTTACCCTTGTTAAATTCGCTGTTTAAGAAGAACATATGTACCATGGAACCCTACTAAATCGTTCATAGGGACATGTATTTTTCCAGACTTTTTTTGAAAAAATGAGAGTTCATAGTTTACTCGCTAAATACCAGGGGCCTGTTTCTCGAAAGCCCCAGAAACTTTTTGGGCCCGAAAAGACATTTTTAGTTAATAGCTATTTAAAGACAGAGAGATGTATACGCCTGAAACTTCTTGTACGGAATGGAACCTCTGTTTATATTAAGAATATGTAAATAAAACAGCTCTGTAATCATAAGGTTTAAGATTTTGCTACAGCTTTCGGGTGCGAAAACTTTTCGGGACCTTCCAGAAACGGACCCAAGGACTCTGAACTCAAAAACGTTTCAGCCTCTGGCCGTCAACTTAAAGACGTCCTGCTTGTCAGCATTCTAACTAGTAGTAATGTGTTAGCTTTCAAAGATGGCGTCAAGTGCCCTATTTGGGGATCCACGGCCTTCGGATAAGAGCACCTTTGCTATACTGACTGATCCACTAGGCCAGTTGGCAGCAACTCATGGGTAATTATTGTGGTAATTTGAGCTAAGATAAACTTCAACAGTGATATAATGTTTGAATAATTTATTTATCTTCACACAGCATGAACAGACTTATAGAGAACAGAGGCTCTGAGGAAATTAATCAAGAGGAAGAGAGTGGTAGTGGATGGACAGTTTACACAAGACGAAAATCAAAAAGTCCTCCATTCAAACCAACGCAGGTAGAAAAAGCACAGGGCAGACCACCTGGGAGTGTAAATGAACTGTGTGATATTGAATTAAGTAGTGTTCCATGTTTAAACAGACAATTCACTGACAATCCTTGTTCGAGGGACAAATTTAATACCTTGCATTCACAAGAAGATGGAGAGTCCCGAGAGGATGGCGGTACTAAGAATAGCGCTGACTGCCCAACCACAGCCTCAGCACTGCAAGGAGATATATCGAGAACTTCACCGCTGGCTTGCTCTTATTCAACATTACAGTCAGCAGAAACCTCGTGTAGTCCACCAGGGAACGACGTTCTTTCGCCACCTCTGTCTTCGAAAGTAGGAGAAAAGTTACAAGCCTCGACTATTTCCCAGTCACCTCCAGCCGAGGAGCGACCCTCAGTACAGAACTCGTCAGCCTTCAGTGATGACAACCCTTTACCTCACAATGATCAACACATTGCTTCGAAAGCACCAAATGGTGACGCACCTGTTTCAACGAATACAACTGTGTCAGCCTCCACTTGTCAACAGCCACTAAATGCGTTCTTCCCTGCTCCACATTTTGCATTTCAAAGAATTCCCACCGAGGTTATTTCTCAATATCTGTCCAGCCTTGTGGTACAACCCAATATTCCGTCAGATAATAGGGTACGAACTGGTTCGGCACTGCTCCGTCGTCCCCCTGGTCTGAACACAGAGCCTGTTCCAGATGAGGAACCTGAGCAACCCTCCCCTTCCTGTTCTCCTCCAGCACGTGGCAAGTCTACTTATGACAAGTTGATGGATGCGCTTCATAAGAGGTTTCCAAACAAGTCCAGGTATGCTTAGCTTCTACACCATTACAGTTACATGACTAACCCTCCCATAACAACATAGGTACATAAATTCAAGTGTACGCCTCTTGTCATTCCCTTCCTTTTACCACATGTAGCTGTACTTACTATAATACCATTAATACTGTACCAATAGTAACCCCCTCCCCCCTGCATATACCTCTATGGGTATGAAACAATTGGAATTTATAAGATCTTATCTTAAACCCTCTACCGCGAAGATTGTTCTAAGAGTGTGTTCGAAGACTTCTTGTGTAAATGTAATGATCGTTGAAGTTGTTTATCGTTTCATATCGATATGTGACCACTGACCAATGGAGTAATGAAACATGAAATACCTTCCGGCGATAAGTTTCCCCTCAGTATCTCTAACACTCACACTGTAGAATTTTAGTGTTGCAGTTCCGTATGACGCTAGTCAAACCCCTGGGCTGAAACAACTTCGTAAGAATTTTCGTGTGTCTTTATATCACCGCGTGTGCCACTTTTTTGTTCTTACCACATTTTGACGTCATCTGTGATCTGTTACTGAACAGACGCACGGCAACATACAGAATCTATTTGTTAAATATTCAAGGTTGTTTTAGGTCACATCTATGTGAAATACGGTGAGAGAGTTAGTTTATTAGAATGGATCAGTTTTATATGGGGAAGGCCTCATGTCCGAAACGGTGTATAACTGGAAAAGGGAAGGGGTGGATGGAAGGGGCTTAAAACCAGCATTTAACTTTGCTAGGGACAATTAGTTTTGTGTTATTTAGTACAGGTAATCAAATGATTTATTTTGTAAATCAAAGGCAAAAAAGATTTTGTAATCAAATTATTTTCTGTAACAAGTAAATTTTGTCAGACTGAAAAAAATTGTAATCTGTAAATTGTAAATTGTAAATTGTAGTCTTTGAAAAATTTACCAGTGCTTATTTAATACAAACTGCACGAGAAAAATCATTTGATTATTTATTAAAATGTATAAAGTGGAACCCCGCCTTACGGTCACCTCGTTAACACGTTAATCTCGTTATTACGGCCAGTCTTTTTACCCCCCCGGCAAAACGCCCATACATGTTCTTATACGAAAACCCCGCTAATTTCGCCACCTCGTTAATACGGCCAACGGGCACATTCTGAAATCCCAACCCATATAATTCTCTATAATTTTACCCCGTTAATACGGCCAACCGAACCAGGTATGTTCATCTTTCCATTGTTTATTAAAGTGCACCTAACCCCAA